CAGGGGACACTGCGGGGGAGGCAGAGGGAACAGGGTCATGGTGGGGGCTGAGGGCAGTGGATTGAGGGTGGGAGGCACCGGGGACTGCGGGGGAGGCTGAGGGAACAGGGTCAGGGTGGGGGGCTCAGGGCAGTGGGTCTGAGGGGAGCCCTCCTGCAGAGGGACCTGCCAGGGGGCCAGCTGAGCCCAGCAGTGCTTACCTGGAGCAGCTCCCAGGAAGCAGGCAGGTCCCTCCCAGTCCCTCTGGCCCTTTCCTAGGGTCGGGTCGAGAGGAGGGGGGGCAGGGGCCGGGGGGGCTCTCTGCCCAGCGACCGCTGCCTGCTGCCGGAGTCTACAGGCCCCGCCCCGCTGCAGCACACAGCAGAGCGAGACCTCCTCGCTGCCTCTCTGTGTGCCGGGGCAGGGGCAGGGCTGTGCTCTGCAGGCTCCTGACGGCCAGGCGGGGGGCTCCGTGGCCTGGCTCCGCTGCGCCGGGAGCTCAGCTGCGCGCTGCCCCAGGGCCCAGGGAAGGAAGGTGAGTGGCGCCGGTGGCGCCAATGTAAGGTCGGGACGCGGGACAAGTCCCTTAATATCGGGACGTCTGGTCACCCTAGTTAGAAGCTAGGAACACACAGAGCATGGGCTTGAATACCTGCCTATCCTGCTCCGACTCCCTTCTCTCCAGTGTCTGCTGTGGGGAGAGGCTGTTAGCGGTGTGCAGCCGGCACAACCTGCCCTACACCACTCCCTGCAGCGACTGGCACAGGGATCTCCTGCACTGTTATGATGAAGCCCTTCAGGGTATGTCCCACTTTAGGACAGTGGCTCGCAAACGTTTTATCGAAACGCCCCGCCAGCTGCATTTTGTCTTTTTTAGCGATCCACCCAGGGTCCAAATTCATGGGCGGGGGTGTGCAAAATCATAGGTCAGCCTCATCCTCCTCCGCTGCTTTCTCTGTCCTCGCCCCGCCAAGGGGGCACCGACTCCCCGCAGCTGCAGGTGTGGCCAGGCCAAACATGAGCAAGTAGTGCTGTGACCCCATGAGCCAGGTTGCAATACCCAGAGCATGGAGCTGTGCCCAGCCCCACAGGACATGAGCCATCGTTGCAGGGTGAGTGTGGGGCAGGCTTGCTTTCAACCCCTGCCCCTTCAGGGCTTCTCCTTGGAAAGGCTGCTGTAGGAATCCTAGGAGCAGGGAGGGTAGTCCTGGGGCTTCCAGGTAGCCTTTGCGTCTCACAGAAGGGGTTGCAGGCAGGAAGGGGGACTGTGCCCAGAGGCATGTGTCCTTCAGCTCATCTGGGTGGAGACCAATGGAAGTGGGCTGTAGTCCACGAAAGCTTATGCTCTAATAAATTTGTTAGTCTCTAAGGTGCCACAAGTACTCCTGTTCTTTTTATTTTACCCCAGAGTCTGTGGTGGATCCAGGATGGATTTTAATATTAAGGCTTGCCTTGCTCCTTGGTATTCAGCCATAAAGGCTTTAGGAGCAATGGAGGTCTCAGCCCCAGGGATTAGGAGCACTCTGTGATGAAAGGATTTGGGGAGGAGATGTGCTTTGGCATTTTCCTACCCCTCCAGTTCTATTAAAGGCAATTCCAAGGTCTCCGGAGCTCATAAGCTGCTGAGAGCTCTGTCCTCTCTGCGCCTCTGTAGGCAGAGTGGAAAGGCCTCAGCATCCCATGGCCATGCACACTCTGGGGTTGGCTGCCTGCCGAGGGGAGGTGTACAGGAGACTTGGCCAGCCTGAGGCCACCTGGCCTGTATTCCCTGATGTGCTTTGTTACTATACCTGGTAGAGCAGGGGTCCCAGATGGGAGTCTGGGGGTCCAGCCAGTCACTTCACAGTGATGTCAGACGGTGGGACAGGAACCAGTACAGCCTGCGAACTGCTACTGAACAGCTTTGTGTCCCATTCCCACGTCAGGTGCTCTTTGCTCAGCAAACACCCAGGACCCCTCCTCTGCCTGCTTTCTCTTCCCATGCTCGGGCCTTTCCTTCTCTCGAAGGAGTGGTATCTTGGGGATTGACCATATAACTAACCCTGGAAATCCAGGGCAGCCTAGCATACACGGCTTGGGAACCCCATAGGGAGAGGTGGGTGCAGAGCTCTCCTGCTGGCATGGGAATCCTCCCTGCTCCCTTGGGCCGTTCTCTATGGGTGCCATCTTTCAGTGCTGCCCCCTGCTGGTCTTCTTGTGCTACTACAGCTGTGAGCCATGCATCCCCCCTAACGTGCTGATGGTTTTTCAGATGAGACCAGTAACCAGAGCTCCTTGTCGGATGTTTACCAGCTCAAGGTCGACAGCAGCCCAAACTCGAGCCCCAGCCCCCAACAGAGCGAGTCAATGAGTCCTGCACATACGTCTGACTTCCGCACGGACGATTCGCAGCCACCTACACTGGGGCAGGAGACCCTGGAAGGTATGATGCAGCCAGCTGCACTGGGAGAGGAGATGCTGGAGGGGGCGGGCCCTAAGGAAGGTGCAGTTCAGCCAGCCATTCTGGGCCTGGTGAGCCCTGGGAGAAGCACAGTGCAGCTGCCCATGATGGGCCGGGTGAGTTTCTGCTCCTTGCCCCGGCAGGGCATTTGCTGCCATGTTCCTGTGCAGGAAGCATGGCTGGGTTGGCTGTTTTCATGCATGTTTTCATGCATGTCCAACATGGTGTTGGCTTTTCCTAGGCCTCTCTATGGTGCAAGGGCAGCAGAGACCTGAATGCCATCTAGGCACGGTGCTCCCCACTGAGTCCTGGGAGTATGTTGTGTCTGCAGGCAAGGGGGCAGTAGCTGGCTAGCTCACTCGGTGAGGCCAGGCAGAGCTCTTGCTGCTAACAGCAGGCTCACGGGGCCAGCACATCCATAATCCTCTCCGTTCCCTTCCAGAGCCCTGCCTACCTTCCTCGGAAGTTGCAGATGAGCCTCCCACTCTCACGAAGGAGGAGCCTGTCCCTCTTGAGACTCAGGTAAGGGGAAGGGGAACCAAAGCCTTCTCTACATATGTACAGGCTCAAACTACACCCTTCATCCCTCTGGTGTGTTGACTCTGAAACCTAACAATGGCACATGATGTGTCAGCATTATGAACTGTTTCACTGCTGCCCATTTGAGCAGAAGCATCCAGCTAATATACTTTCCCCACAGACTTGGGCTGCCCTCTGCCCAGCTTCCGCAACCATTTCGGTGCTGCAGTTTTGAGCTGTGAGTGCCAAAATTGATAGTGCCTGGAAAACTGAAAATGTGGGGACAGCCTGAAAGAATCACAGTAAATATTCCGGGTCACTGCCCTGAGCCTGTTGTTCTCATCAGGTGTAGTTCATTAAAATGCTCCCTGTATCAGGTCATTGGAGCTGCCCCAACCAGACACCTGGCCTCAGAAGTGTGAGCATTTGCCATGGAGTGCCCTGGGTCTTGAACCCAGGCATAGCACTGCTGGGAGCAAGCCCGTGCTGTTGGTGCCACTAGTGGCCCAGGCAGGATGCTATGGGCCGCTGAGCCTCATGGTCAGACTGTAGCCTCTGCCCTTCCCTTTAGTGCTGTTGGCTCCCTGTGAGCAGAGATCCCAGGGCTGTGGCAGAGTTGTGCGCAGAGCTGGGAGCTGCATCCCGCATCACCCGTGACCTCTGCTCTCCTGCTGTTCCAGGAAACTGAAGAGGAGGATTCTGGGGCGCCGCCTTTGAAGAGATTTTGTGCTGATCAGAACTCTGTGTGCCACACGGTCTCGGAGAGCTAGGGATGGGCCCCTCCCTCCAGCCCCCCACAGAGCCCGCCTGCCCTCCCCAGGGACGGGCCCCTCCCTCCAGCTCCCCGCAGAGCCCGCCTGCCCTCCCCAGGGATGGGCTCCTCCCTACCGGCCCCCTGCAGAGCCCGCCTGCACACCCCAGGGACAGGCTCCTCCCTTCAGCTCCCCGCTGAGCCCGCCTGCCCTCCCCAGGGAGGGGCTCCTCCCTCCATCTCCCCACAGAGCTGGCCTGCCCTCCCCAAGGACAGGCCCCTTCTGCCACGCTCCCCACCCCCTGAGCCACGCCTGTCCTCCCCCAGGGG